CTGAACCCTCAGTCGTCCACCCCGTAGCCAGTCGCTATACCGACGGCGCTAGCCCGGCTGGGGTTTGGATTGGTCATCGGATTTATTGGTCTCTTTGGTACAGCGCGTGACTACACTTTACGGTATACTGTTACACACACACTAGTGTCCACAGTCACAGCTTCATTGCCGTTACTTGGTAGCGGTCTGCAATGGCGAATGTTCCCTTTCCTCTGTGTTCCAGAACTTCCCCGACCCCCAGCTACCAGATTCTCACAGTAACAGCTCACAACGACTGAGCCCTAGTTCTCTAACTCACTCACTGACTAAATAACCAATTACCCATCCCTTGTCCTGAGTGCAATATCTCGGCACGGACCGCGTAGAATACACCATTCCTCTGTTTTTGTCCAATTTTTGTCCGATATTCTAGAAACTAGAAAATATGGCCTTTCGTAAACTATATCTGTTTCCGTCCTCAGGTGAGGGGGAAAGACAACTACTCACTTGGATTCCACAGCAAGAACTAACCTCAATCACTAGACAATCCCTATCAGCTATTTAGTCACCTCAGACCAGGCTAATTCGGCGAGATATAACAAGAAAATATGCAATAAAAATTGTGATAGAGCACGCACAGGCGCGGAACTAGGATAGAAAAGGAGTAAGATATTTGTGCTACAAACCTAGCCGACAAAACCAAGTGCATGAACACCATTGTCAAGAAATGGGGAGAAGAAAATTGTGAAGACCTGTAATATCTTCCACTAGTGCCATCTGTGGAGTAAAACATGAACACTGGAAACTGAAACTTGCACAAATCCATGAAGAATCTGTCATGTCATACAGATCTTCTCTGCGAGTTAGAAATCTCATTGCTCATGGGGGGAATCCAGATAGGAAAATGTCTAAACTTGGTTAAGCATGCCATATGGGCGGCTTCCTTATATTTCCTATGCCTGCTGTCACTCTAAATTTCCAAAACCCCATCATTCCAGCCTACTCTATTGCCCTCTTCATAGGCAGGTTAGGCTAATGAAAACCCGGTACTCTTGAGTGTTAAAGCGTGTCCACATTACCCGTGCTCGTGCGTCAGAAGTTTACTGCTGCCGGAAAATCAGGATCTGGAGCTGATATCTGTTGTGAAGAAATGCGAAGGCTTTGTATGCAAACCAGTTTGAGCGCCCACTTCGTCAGCTCCAGATCCTGATTTTTCCAGCAGCAGTAAGCTTCTGACGCACGAGCACGAGTAATGTGGACGCGCCTTTATACACAATCGTCAGAATCCTTTAGAATCAAATAGTAACATGTTTACACATTTAAACTACATTAAGTTAATAAAAGCCACCACTAGACTCTATTATTTTTGAAGGGAGTACTGCTTTTCAGACAATAAGCAGTATGACTATAGTCGTTATTAGGTGTGCTACGCTGAAGTGAACCCAGACCAACACCGCTGCTACGACTTCACTTTCAACGCTGTTAGTCAAAACAGTACCAATTTACATATTCACACACCTCGAGCAGTCCCACCGCAATTGCCCCGCTCGATAGACCGACTTCCTGTCAAGTGGGCTCCGCAGGAAATGAAAAACTGCAGACACTTTTCGTTTTAATTTTCTACGAGCTTGACTGTAGTCTAGAAAAAGAAAATTCCTTCATGATTCCTTATGCTGTATTTCTCGTCCGATAATTTCTACTGTTCTGTAAGGTGGCTGTGGCAGATTGTAATATTGGTACTCTATCGAGCTGCCTACGGCTCTGCAGCACTTTGTTTGACCTTACACGTTTTTTTTTTCAATTCCTTAATCTTATATACACATTTGGTAGGATTACTTGGACGGAGGATTAGCCCGTCTCAAAGGCCGCTACCTACACAAAGAACAACACAAAAACAGAATAAATGAACACAAGACATCCATGCCTTGAGCGGGATTCGAAACAACGATCCCAACATTCGAGCGAGAAGAGACAGTTCATGGCTTAGACCGCGCGGCCACTGTGAGCGGCAATATTGGTACTCGGTATTTGTATAATTTCCTTGCTAACTATTCCCGTGATCAAGAAAATGTCTTAAATATCTTTATATAAAAATTGCACAGAAACAGTTAAAAGCAATAAAACTTCAATTATGTGTGAAAATTAAGGTGTAGTATGTATGTATAAGCCGGTCACGGTAGCCGAGCGGTCTAAGGCATGCACTGTCTTCGCTCGCTAGGAAGCCGAGATCGTGGGTTCGAATCCCACTCAGGGCATGGATGTTTGTGTGCTTTTCTCTGTGTTTGTCTACAGGTAGAGGCCTTGCGACGAGCTCATCACCCGCCGAAGGAGTCCTACCGAATGTATAAGATCTAGAAAAACCGAAGTGAACGGAGTTCATGGAGGTAGGCCTAGGCGAACTGGGGCTGTAGTGCCAAGAAAAAAAAAAGTATGTATAAAGTTCTCCAAATTTTATATATTATTCAAAGAAATCATCTTCTGATATATATAAAGGGAAAGACAAACTTATCCCTGTAACGTGCTGTGGAGGCCCATAGGGTAGTGGGACGTCGAGGCTTCCACATTTTCTAAACAATCGGCTCACAGATGGCGGTGTGGTTGTCAGCCTTAGATACCGGCCGCCCTTTACCCCCAGAAGGATTCCTGGTACCAGTTCTGTTACTGAGTCGACCCCCATCGGGAATGGAGCCCATGACCTTCCGACTTGTAGCACAGTGCCTCAACCAACTACGCTACCGCGTGCCCCTAGCATCTTTATTATTTCACTGTTTTGAATAAAGTTAAGTGGCCGCAGCGCCTAATTACCGTGACATGAAAGCTGTAATGGATCTGGCTGACACATCCTCAGTGCGATGGCATGGATCTGAAACTGTCGCTTTGCCATGAATTCTACTTTTCCTAGAGACGGGAGATGGAATGCTCAGGTACCCGCCCTGCTCATGTCACCGCTTCAGCCTCTTCTCCAAAGATGAAAGGTTAAACATCCAGGGACCAAATATCAATTACTCTGTCTGAAACTGCGCAGAGGGCCAGCAATTTATCAGTTGGGTAAACACGCCACTAACGAAGAGTACATAAAGTTGTGTGCATAGGCCAAGGAGGATAGATTGAGAAGGGAAAAGGGTATTTGAGGCATCTGTTTAGAGCAACATTTTGCGATAATGGAAAGGAACACGTGTTATCTCACTCATCAGCACCGGCTCAATAAGTACAGCTGTGCCTTTACAATGGGCTGCTAGCCTGGACAGCTGCTCGTAAGAAGGGCATAAGTACTGTGTCATTTTGAAGGGCCTACATACTTCCTAACGGAGCTAAGCCCTTCTTGAAAAGCCGCCAATTCTGCAGCTACTGAAGAATTTCCCAGCATTTTATGGAACCCGAAGGTTCATTTACGTATTCACAAGTGTTCTCCACTGGCCCCTATCATGAGCCAGTCAAATCCAATCCACACTATCCCAACCTATCTCTCTAAGATCAATTTTAATATTGTCCACCCACCTACGCCTTGGTCTTCCCTTTCTCTTTCCTTCTGACTTTCCTAGCAATATCCTACGTGCATTCAGCTTCTAAACATTCGTGTTACATGCCCTGCCCACCTTATGCTCCTTGTCTTGATCATTCTAATTATATTTGGAGAAGAGTTCACAAGTTATGAAGGTCCTCATTATGCAGTTTTCTGCAACCTCTTCTCACTTCATCTCTCTTCGGTCCAAACATTCTCCTCAACACCCTGTTCTCAAATACCCTTAGTCTATGTTCCCCCCTTAATGTCAGAGACAAAGTTTCACACCCATACAGAACCACAGGCTAAATAATAGTTTTGTATATTGTAATTTTTTTATGTTTTTGGACAGCAGACGAGAAGACAAAAGTTTCTGGACTGAACGGTAGCAAGCATTACCCGAGTTCAATCTCCTCTGAATTTCCTCCAAGCTGGATAGATCCCAATGAGAATGTTACAGTTAAGTCCATCTTGCCGAGCGCTGCAGATATACACTCGCACTAAAAACCAATATTTCTACTTCACTTTCAACGTGTGGATGACCTCGAATTCTTGCACCCGCCGCTCAGTTGCCATCTGTCACAGGAAGACGTAATATAAATTGACACATTTCCAAGGATATCGCCCTATGGTACGTGGTGCCGGCTAATATGACGGAAATTTTGCCGATATTTCAGAGTACCATCCTACTCACGGCTCAATCATCTACCTGAAAGATCGAAGCAGAAAGTTTCGTGACGTAAGGCTGACAACACTACCGCCATCTGTGAACCGACTGTCTAGAAAACATGGGAGCCTCGACGTCTCACAACCTTATGGGCCTCCACGGCCTGTTACAGGGATAGCTTCACGTTTTATTTAACCTTAATTGAAAAATATTGTTCTTCATTTCGAAAACAAAATAGTCAACAATTTTAATTTACAAATAACATGCAGATGTCTGATAACTGCCGACCTCAGTGGCCGAGCGGTCTAAGGCGGGAATTGTTTTCGTCCTCTCAAACACTGGGGTCGTGGGTTCGAATCCCACTTGAGGCATGAATATGTGTGCGTATATTCCGTGTTTGTGCTGTCCTGTGTGCAGGGAGCGGCTTTGCGATGGGCTGATCCCCCGTCAAAGGAGTCCTATCGACTGTACAAAAAGATCAAGACACTGAAAAGGCGGACCGAGGTCTAACAAAGGGCTGTAAAGACATAGCTAGATGACTGATAACGTGTCTTTCAGTGTTCCACGAATTATAAATGTGACGTCATCTAATATACTACACAGGCGGTGCAAGGCTGCTCGTAATCTACATTTCATCTCATTCTCTTAGCAGCACGTAAACAAGAAACAAACAACGTGCCACGAGATGCAGCATACAACACGTTGTCATGGTTACCAACACAGGCTACTGCATCGGCCCTAGTTGATGATGATTTATGGCCACACACGAGGCATGACTGAACAGGAGAGGAACATTCCTGGAGGTCGCTAATGAGACCCGCTCACAAAGCTGACAGGCTGCAGGGGACTTACCTTTGTCGAGTGAAGTTGCGAGCAGGACGGACGGCAGTACCAGCAGGACGAGGACAATGCGTTGCCCCGGTGGCACGCGCTCCCTCATGGCTCGCGAGACCGCTACTGCTCTGCAACACAGCAGAAACATTAACATTAGAAATGTATCTTAGAGAGATAGTATTGGATTGGTCTGGCTCAGGATACAGACCAGTGGAGGGCTATTGTGAACACGGTAATGAACCTTCTGGTTTCATAAAATGCTGGGAAATTCTTAGAGTAGCTGCAAATTTGGCGGCTCCTCAAGAAGGACTCAGCTCCATGAGTAAGTAATGTGACATGACGCCTGAAAGCCAGAATAACTTATTCAGAGTAAACGTTTATTTCTAGGCAACGACTCGGTAAACAGGTTACGCGGAAATGAATAAGCATGCAACAATAGAAGAACTATCGCTTCTATGCAACGGCGAAGTAGGATACGGTGTTTTCTGTTGGATCTGACCCGAGGCTATAGAGGAAACAAGGCCGGTTGAAAAATAACTGAGGGAGTCTCTTGAGACGGCAGTCGAAGATGACTGAGGAGAAACGGCAAGAAAGGAATTAGGCTGTGGAAAAGAACACGTGTGTTGCAGTTACAGCGGGACTAGTGCAATTTCTCTGTTAAAATTCGTTGCTAGGAAGCGGCTAGTGGAGACTGTAATAGACTGAGGACACTAGTCTGTGTGTCTCAGTGATCTGTAAAGTGTAGATCCGAGAGGTGTGTACAAGTGGTCAACAAATGCACAATAATGACCATAATAATAACAAAAATAAGAAGAGTAATTCCGAGACATTAGCACGTCAAGAAATCCTGTGCTGTGTTCACGCAAACCATATATCTGATTCCATACTTAAGTGGTTAATTCTTATCCACAAGATAGCATCGCATTTCTGTAGAAACCAATTCAATACACAGCCTACCCCTAGCGTTTATCGAAAAGTTGCTTCCTCAGAGGAATTAAGAATAAATTTGGATGAGTTTTTCGCGGTCTTAACCATGAGTGCTACTCAATATGCCCAAATACTTCATCGTCTTATTGTTCGGTGCCAATAACAGTAACAAGAAAAACATAATCTGATACAGACGAAAACAACGCGGCTTCTGAAAATAATGATTAAACCCATAGCTCAGTCGGTATAGCGACTGGCTAAGGGCTGAACGAAAGAAGTGTCGGAGTTCGAGTCCCGGTAAGGTCAAGAATTTTCTCCTCTCCACGTCGTCCAAACAGGCTCTGGGGTCCATCCGACCCCATATCCATGAGTACTGGGGTTAATAGGCAGAGGCATGAAGCTGACCACTCAACTGCAACTAGTGCTGAGGTAAATAAATGTGGCTGTATATCCACTACCCGTACATCTCCATGGAGTATTGTTTAACTAGTTAAGCAGAGGGACAACTTTACCTTTTACCTTAACCGACCGCAATAGGAGGAACATAAGGCACTCGAAAAAGGTACATACGCGTTCACTTGAATATCATATGCTATGGAAGGGGGCACAACAGAAGGCGTTCATTGAAACTTCTTTTGTAAATGTATTCATCACGCACACATTGCTGGCCTTGACACGTAGCAGAGTCTTGCAGTAGTAAAAATACAGACTTAAAAGCGAGAAGTTTTCGGAATACAGGCAGGGACACCGGTTATTCGGGTTACGTTCTTTTTCTCAGTTCCTCCTGACAAAATCCTGATATTGGACTTCGGTCATGACACGATCACTTCCTTTCAAAATCTTTACAAATCATCATTCGTAAATCACCTTACAATTCATGCTAAACGGCGTTAATTACTAGCAGAACCCTATAGGAAACTATAAAGTATTATTTTTGGTGTTCGCATTTGTTAAAATACTCACCTAACTGAAATATATTTAAAATAAACGTTCTGAACCTACAGAGATCTGTGTTTATGTCCTGAATAATCCTTCCTTTGTTTTCTTAAGTGCAAATTTGCATTTCTGCTATATGTATAATTGGACCAATGCTGATCAGATCTAAATTCTAGGGTAAACCTCCAGTACGCCGATAAGTGATGTCTAGAAACGAACTATGAACACAAAGTGAAGGAAGTGACTTCCACATTAAGCTCTTCTATAATGCACTTTGCACATGCAACACAAGATAATTTCCTGCAAAGTGCTAAAATTTATATTTCCTAAATTATAAGTTTGTTCATTATGAAATAATTACAGAAACACGATTACGTTTGGAGCAATCTGGTTAGTTGTGTCGTTTCGTCTCTTTCTCGAAATCCTTTCAAGTTTTGTTCTCAAGAGCAAAGCTCTTAAATGGGGCATGCTCAAGAGAAAATTCAATGTGCACAAAAAGGCGGCTTTTCTTTACAAAACCGAATGCTTAACTTCCAGCAACACAGGAGACACAGCAGATGAAGTGGTCTGAAACTGCGATTTATGGTTTCCAGAGGACGAGCATGCGCAGGGAAGACAAACAGCTTGAGGCTACATCAACAGTTACGCTCCAAGTATAAACAGACAAGTGGGACGTGTCGAACAGACTCCAGAAACCTTATCTTCGATAATTTTAAAGAGGAGCATCTCTTAATTTTATTGTTACGGCGAACATTTAAAGGACACGTTAACACGCAACAATGTACTTCTTTTTTTCCCCCCCTTGGCGCTACAGCCCCAGTGGGCCTAGGCCTACCTCCATGGACTTCTCCGTTGGCTTCGGCTTTTCTAGATCTCACACATTCGGTAGGACTCCTTGGGCGGGTGATCAGCTCGTCGCAAGGCCTCTACCTGTACACAAACACAGAAAAACGCACATACACAAACTAAACATCCTGCCCTGAGTGGGATTCGAACCCAAGATCACGGTTTCCAAGCGAGTGAAGACAGTACATTCCTTAGACCGCTAGGCTACCGTGACCGGCGTACTTCTCCTTACGCCCACATAAAATTAATCTGGCCTCAAGTTTGTCATCTCAGTAGGCAGATGTCGTTAACAAAGTATGCTTCAATATTCCTATCATGTTCCTATGACCACATACATGTCCTTTATAATAACAAACAAAACAAAACAAACTTCGTGACCTGTAGTCCTCAAGCGAACTATACCGACCGAGCAACCGCTGCTTTTCGGTGAATTTTTTTGCCAACTTTAGCGGATAGAGGGTGTCACGTGGTCAGCACAACGGATCCCCACGCCCGTTAAGCTGTTTCCTTGAAATAGCTCCTCAGTTACCCTCACGAGGCTGACTGGACCCCGTTCCAGACCCTCTACTTCTCAGAATATCTGGTGGCGCCGGGAATCGAACCCGGGACCTCTGGATCTGAAGGCAGGAACTCTGACCACTAGACCCCAGAGGCCGTCCCCTTTTATAAAAACATTTGAACGAATGAATGAATCTTCGCTTGCCTTCGTATGAACATGCCAAATGAGATCTTCTCTTTACACCTTAATTTCCTGCCACCCACAGAGCAACATACCTGCGACGCGAAGTGTTGGCATGTGAGCAATATGTTGTGCAGTAGTAAACATTATGACAGTTTGAATTGAATTTTGGTAAGGCATTTTCGCGATGTAAAAACAACGGCAACGTGACTTCTGTAGGTAGCTCCCTGCTTGGCTTGCGAAACTGTGTATGTAGATAAACCGCAACCATAATGTGACATGATGCCTGAAAGCCGGAATAGTGGTGCCAGAGGAGACGTCCATTGCTAGGTAACAGCTGGGCAAACACGTTTCCGCGACAATGCCGAGTACTGGAAATATTGTTGAGAGACGCTGTGTTCCGTTGGGTCCGCCAAGGAGCTATATGACGAGGAACCCAGGCCGACTCAAGAGATTGCCCGCGTGGAGGCGGTGTCAAATACCTCCACAGTAGCCCTGCGAGTTGTAGGAAGCGACGAAAAGGGAACCCAGTGTCTGGGGTATAATTGGGACAGCCGGATCCTGGGGGGATACAAATACGGGGACCTGGCGCTTCGGGTTGGGGGAGTCTCGAATCTGAGACAGTAAAATGTGGTAATAAGCATAATATATAAGGTCGTAATTTCACAGTTTGTAGTTTGTTACTTTATATAACTACGCATGATAATTAGAAAGACAAACAAACGCATCTAAAATAAACTGGATTTGAGAGGCCTACGAATATGAAATGCGGCGCTTTCTGTTACAATAATTTAATTCTGTGAAACAAACTCGAACATTTTGCACAGAAAAATAATTATCGTTATTTCATTCTGCGTTCTGTGCGTTGTATTGTCACTCAGCGTTCCAGGATCCAGTGGTGCAAAGAAAGCAGAATGTGTTAGCTCCACTTTGGCTTTATTTGTGTCCAGGCTTAAGTCAGTGTGGAGCGTGAACAATAACATGGCCGTTACGGCTCCAGTCAGACAGGACAACACAATAACTCACGACTTCAGACCTACTGGTCCTGTGGTTGAATGTTGAAACAAATATGACAAGTGGACAAAGTGCAGCGGATATTTGTATTTTATAAACGCATATTCAAGTCTACTTTGTTATTTGACGACCACTGCTTCTAAAAAGAATTGTAAGGAGTAAATAAACGCAATATATATATATTGATTTCTTCCACCGCTTCTTTTCTGTGTAATTCATTTCCATAACTCAGTAAAAAGGCAAAACTCTCAGTGTAGCAGGCCGTGGAGGCCCATAGGGTTGTGGTAAGTCGAGGTTCCCACATTTTCTAGACAATTAGGTCACAGATGGCGGTAATGTCAGCCTTACGCTCCAGCCACCCTTTACCCCCAGGAAGATTGCTGGTACTAACTTCTGTTAGAGGCTGAGTCGACCCCAGGGCAATAATGAGGCTGGAAGGATTAGGTCAACTCAAAAATCACTGAACTCAATCGCGAATTGAACCCGCGATCTTCCGGCTGGTAGCATGCCACTTAACTATGCTTTTCAACAGTAGCGAAATAAGGTAAAGTTGTCCCTGTACTCAACGAATTAAGCGCTACGCCTTGAATGCATATGGAGTAGACGTACAGGTCCGCATTTTCTTGACGTCGGCATTAGCTAGAGGTGAGTGATCAGCTTCACACCCCGGCCGTTTCGACCTCGGGGAAATAACCCACGATACTAATTGGATAGGAAGTTGGGTGG